AGAACCTGCTTCAGATCCGGTAACACTATCCGTAGCAGCCTCACGAAAACCAGGCCACCAAACGCGGACTGAGATTCCAAGAATTGCATTTACCGAATACCCTGTGAGTGCGGAAAATCCTATATTGGTGAAACTAAGAGACCATTGAATGTTCGCATTGCCGAGCACAAGAAGCACACACAGCGAGGAGAAACCAGCATATCAGGAATAGCAGACCATGTTTGGACCCATTGGCATCACTGAAAAGAGTAGAAAATCTCAGATCATTGACATTTCGATTTGTTTATACCGTGAACATTCATTTTCAATATTGATTTAGTATTTTTATTGATCCATTCCTTTCAAGGTTAGGAATTGATAACCATATCGAAACTCTCAAGTAAATTGTATTCTTTGTTTTATTACTATGCTCAAAAGTCTCCTTTTCCAGTGTAACTAGGTAAGTCTACAGTGAAAGTGTTGCAAAGGGGTACAGTACTTCTAGAAGCTTCTGTAGATGACGTCCGAATGAGAGCTTTCAATTTGGTAACCCTTCTCAGCACTTATAATTGAATTTCTACAGAAAATCAAGAACCGACTTAGGCTTTTGCCTCCTCAATTCAAGAGCTAGTCATTCGAAATGAGTAAATGTAATGCTTTCTTGCTCAAGATCCAGAAAAGAGTAAGGAAACGGTACAGAAACTTTCTAGCTCTTTCTGGTTATAGAAACAGTATTTCTTTCTGTATGACTGCTTCAGTTTTTCCTTTCCAGTATGTCATCTATTATTACACCCATTAGCCACATTTAAAACAAATTTGTTAATACTTGTATTCTGATGAGTCATTTTTGTGTGGCATCAATGACCTTGGGATGATTCTGAGTAATACATCCCCTCACAATTACTCATTAGTTAATATGGGACTGTACTAGACCCGTTTTTCTACAATGAAACATCCTGAAAATCAAGTCGATGAAAGTTTGTTGATTCACCCAGTACACCACGTAACATCCAAAACCTAGCGAATTTCGTGTGAATAGTTCCCTCACTCTGATATTTCCACCAAGGTTACCACATACAATGACCCGCGGTGTCTTCCACAGCGGAAACACGCTGTATAAGCGCCGTACAATACAAAAGATGACCGGTCCACTATATTTCACCATAACCAGAGGTTATTAGTCATTCCGATTCTGTACCTCCACCGGTGGGTTCTAATCGACACAACCAGTTTCTGATGGTAACCAAGTGACAGTTTTAAGAAAAGTTTGGGGAACGCAAACATACTGTGATTTTTTATTAAAATAAATAAAATAGAAGGTGTTTCTAAATGTCATGTAAATATTTGTAAAGCGTGACTGATTTTGAAATCTGTTGAAAATTAATAACATAAAAGACTACGTTCATGATATAACAAAGCAATATAACTCAGTATTCCCTTAAATTTTATTATATATCTCATATATTTCCCAAGTTATCGAATTGAAACTTGCCACAATTGGTCAATGCCCAGGAAATGATTAGAAAGACAGTATTAAGCTTTCTATATGTTCTCGAGCACTAATCTTTTCAACTATTCCAATTTTTTTACTGCGCCAATGGCCACTTTTCTCAAAAAATGTACTGTATGCAAGCACGCGTGTCCTTTAATCGATTTTGATTTTTCAAAGGACATTTGGGCTAATAAGTCGAATCCTTTATAAGGTGATTCAAGTACATTTGAATCTAAATGAAACCAGTTCAATTGAGAAAGATACTGTGCAGTAAAAATCGTTTTCAATGAAGTTCATGAAGAGAAAATTTTCAGAAAATGAAACTGGAACCTCTGGCGCATAATAAATCCTAAACAAATACTTTTCCAGTCACCAAAAATTCATTGCTCTCCTCTAACCGTTTTCTTTTATAAGATCTGAACTGTTCATATCGTCTCTTCGAACCTTCATTCAATACCTAGTAACTTCAATATATTTCCAGACTTATTGCAATACAAAGCTATTTCTGAGTACGAGGCAAAATTTCTCCTGGAAATTGATGTATTCCAGTTTCAAGAGGAATTCCTATTCAATGAAAAGAATGAATACTTTCCTAGAGGGCAATTTTATGAAGCATACAGTTCATATGGATAATGCAGACTGTACTCATATTGTTTGATATTAAATTCCAAGTATTCTCATTCAACATCAGTTAGTGTGTCATTCTTTTGCTATTAGTTTTATAGTCTAGTAAAATTGGTTTTCAATCAATGCGTTCAGTTTTCATCGGTTCATACAAAGATTAGTTGATTGTGATTTCCACTAAAATTTTAGCTCATGTATGAACACGGTCATTCACCAATGCTTGTTCAAGAAATACTTCTTATAGTAAATTTTTTGGAAGGTTTCTCAATGGTTGAATTACATTTCCATCACGTATTCTTTACTTACTATTTATGAGGAACAAAGATATAGATAGAAAGATTGGGAACCAATGATTTCTTTGAGAGAACCATTGTAAATTGTTACTTTCAACCACAATACACGCCTTCACTCTTCTTGTTACTGAAACGCATTTCCTTTTGAATATTCCGGATCATATACTGACATCCAGCTACATCAGTTCCTCAACATCGTGCAACAGTGTTGTATACACCAGGAACTTAATATTTCCTCATGTGAATAAGTCTGAAAATTCAGGTCTGGTAACCTAGGTGGCCGGTACTGTAGATGCACCTGATCTATTCACATAAGACCATAATACTGAAGTGGACACACCATTATGCAAAGTAAAATATCTCCAAGCAGCAAACTAGTATTCTCCTTGTAGAAACTGAAGAAACATTTGAACAATTGGAGAGGAAGAAGGATCCAATTAACTCATCACTCATAACGCCGGCCCAGATATCAACAGAAAACTGCCGTCTATAATAAATTTCCACAATGGCATGTGGATTTTTCCTGCACCAACAATGCTTGTCAGAAAAATTAATGGTAGCATTTCGTAAAAAGCTAGCTCCATTCCCACAGATAACTTATGTTCGGGTTGCCTCTTATATTTCGGAATTTGAGAACAAAAACAAACATTAATTATCGAAAATCACTTTATTGTTTTCCAAAATACTCTCCATGAAGATCTATACACTTTTGCATACGTTTGAACCAATTGTCGAAGCACTTTTGCCACTCTGATTGAGGTATCTCCAAAACCGCTTTTTCAGGTGTCGAAAAACGTTGACCTCTCAGTTTGGTTTTTACGAGCGGGAATAAAAAGAAGTCATTCGGTGTCAAGTCAAGACTATACGGCGGATGACTCATCAAATCGATGTGTTGGGTACTCAAAAAAGCAGTTGTTTGAGTCTATGTGTGAGAGCTCACATTGTCGTGGTGAAGAGTGATCCGTCTTCGGTGGTTGGTTTTCCTGGTTTCTTGGAAGATACCTGGCAAACAAATGGTTGTGTACCACTCAGAATTGACTGTTCTGCGTTGTTCTAGTGGTACGGTTGCGACATGTCTAGTTTTTCCCAAAAAACAGGCGATCATTTGTTGGAAGTGCTTCGTGCTTCCAACTTTTGTTGGATTTGGCTCTTCTTTAAACACCCTTACAGTCGACTGCTGTTTGCTTTCGGGCTCATACGCGTAAATCCACGATTCATCACCTGTCACGATGTCATAGACGTTATTCGAAGCACCGCATTCGTATTTTTTGAGCATTTCCTTCGACCAATCGACACGAGCCATTTTTTGAGCGATTGACAAATTGTGTGGGATACAACGCGAACGAATGTTTTTGATAATCAAATGTTTATTCATTATTGAATGTATGCTGGTCCCACTAATGACTAAAGTTGTCAAAAATTGAATTGGGCTCATCTATGCACTGTTGCTGAGTTAATCCACGTGGAAAGTTGTAAAAAATAATCGCACGAGAATGTTCATGATTTAATTCCATTTTTGGGCCGAGATGAATCTTTTAAGTTACTGTAAACAACACAATTAGCGCGCGTATGTCAAAAGTTGAGTATGTCCAACTTTACAATAGAGCTGTCAGTTGCCAGATTGCTACACTAGCGTTGCTAAATCCCGTAACATAAAAGGCAACCAAAGCCTGGAAACACCCCCAGCAAAGGTGTTTCCAAGCTCTAGCAACTTGGCAGAGATGAATAAAATCATCCATTGAAATTTTTCTAAAAACAATGTGATAACCGTCAGATTCTCTAGAACTATTTTCTGGATGCTGTTCTATTTCATTTAAAACTTCTTGAGCTCCGTTAATCTTTCGACACTGTATCATGATGAGCTGATGAACGTAATTGAGAGTATTCAACGAGTTGAAATCGGCGATATTCTTAGCTCAGTTACATTTGTTATCCCCCAGGGAACGGTTTTGAGCCCTGTACTGTTCAAAATATATACCTGAATGATCTATCCACAACCAATAATAATAAACTTGGTGTATCTATATTATTTTTCTGGCACGTCTTTACATACTCACAATTTGCAGCATCTGAACTTCGCCCTCCTCACTCTCGCCTTGGTTTCCCACCAAACCCTCACTGCCACGGTAAAGGACATCTTCACCCCCGAATCTCCCCTCACACGCATCCCAAGGGATGGAAAATACTCAAGATACGCCGGCGCTACCACCGACAAGTCCTTGAAGCCGGAGGACTCCCCGGACGTGGGAAGCAGCTCGGCTGCTGTTGGAAAGAGGTGCATCAGGTGTGACACAGGGTACTACGACAGAGACAGGGATAGAGGCTACTACAGGCCGTCGAGTTACGACGATAGAAGTAGGGACTACGATAGATACGATGATAGGGACAGATACTATGACAGGTGAGACAATTAAGACTGATATGGTTTTATATGATCATACGTTCCCTTTTTTCCAGATACGACAGATATTCCAACAGAGACCGCTACTACGACAGAGACCGATACTACGACAAGGACCGCTACTCAGACAGGGATCGCTACGACGTCTACGCCGACCGCGATAGATACTCCAGCAGAGGTCGCTACGGAGGAGACCGCTACAGCGACTACGACCGCTACGACCCATACTACGATCGCTACGATAGATTTTCCGAGCGAGGTATAGGCTACGACAACAGAGGATATGACTACAGGGGATCGGACTACAGGGGATCAGACTACGGGGGTTACAGGCCTTGGGACGAGACGTATAGGGGTAGTTCCGGATTCGATGGTGCTGGGAGGGGGTACTACTTTGCCACGGGGAGGCCGGAATACAACGCAGGGAGCTACGCAGGGTACGGAGGTGGGGGGTATGCTAGCGGGTGGAACTATGGAAGCAGTGCTGGGGGGAAGGATGATTACTATAAGGACAGGGGGTGAGTGGATTTGTTTTCAAGTATTCGAAATTAACGTTGGAAATCTCGATTCTGCAGATGTTTCACTCAGTAGTGGTAACAGTATTCAGATAATCTACCCTTTGAAGTTTCTTCATTCCACTCAGTTTTCAAAGAAATAATTCGTTGAAAAAATCATTGCAGCAAGTCTGTTTCGAAGTGTATTTTAGGGCTATTTCCTCTGTCTCTGTTCTCTATCTCACTATTGCCATTATCCATCGCATTTAAAAAAAACTGAAGGATATAAGTATGGCACTCCCAGGAAAACCTGAAACTTTATACTCGAAAGAAAATGATCACCATGAGTTTTTATCGATATGAAATTCAGGATAATCCAATATACAATGGTTATTTTCAAAATAAAATGATTCGGGTTCAGCGAGGAGAATGTGCAGTCCAATGCTCAGAGTTCTAGTGACAAAGAGGCCATGAACTTTTGAATTTGGAATTTCTACGTTACAGAATTGTACTGCATGAATTTCGACCATGAATAAACATAAATTGAAGCATTTATTTTCAAGGCAGTTGCTCAAATAACCGATGAGCTGGGGTAAATGGTAAATAACTTTCTTTTCAGAACAACTAAATGAACAATATAAATGGCGATATTATGATTCATTCAATTCAACACCCAATACTGAAATTCTATGCCCTAATGGTTAATCAAAAATTGGTCACGACTACTCGTAATTGAGATCGGATATGAATACTGGAAAACCGTACCTGACACCAAATTCAGTTCCAATCCACACCTGACACCAAATTGGTTAAATAACTGGTTCTCATTCTTTTTCAACGAAGAGATGGGCCGTCAATAGTCCCGATCATTTCATATTGAACAATTTCCTTGAACACATTACTTAGGTTGTGAAATGAAACTTGACAAAAAATATTTCAGGAAAATTCTCAGACAAATATATTCCTCTTTTGGAATTTCTATTCAGCAATATCATTCTGAAATCCCTCATCCCCCAGGGCATTCCCTACTTTTGATATTCGAATAGCAAAGAAGCTCATCCAAATTGCCATGGCAATTTGGAAATATATATCGAACGGTACAAGCATTCCTTCAAAATAATTTTTCAAAGACTTGATACTGAATGTTGAGAAATTTTACAAACAAAAACTTCCACCATTCCGAATTTATACAAATACATATCTGGAAATCTGGAAACTGTGAAATTGGTGATACACACCTGACACCAAATTTCAATTGACCCCACACCTGACACCATTGACATGCAATACTTCCTAATGCTTTCCTGAAATGAATAGATTTCGTGTTTCTCACTACCAATAACAGTAATGTGTTTTTTTTGTTCCCTTCAAGTCGCTTCATAATAAATAACTCCCACAGCTGTGCTACCTACACCGGCAACTAATTCAGTATCTCATGCACTGAAAATAAAAACCTTGATTCGCTCACAACCAGCTCAACATACGTGTCAGGAAATACATTTCCAAATGAATGTCACCGCGTTCCGTAGTAGGACCTAATTAAAAATTAAATGTGAAAGCTCTCAGATGAAAAATGTTAGAACGCGTTACTCGTTCACTCGGTTGTTAATGCTTCACCTATTTGTACTACGCTGCTAATGAGTTTCTCTTTCATCAGTACACCGGGTAGGTAATTGCGAGGGATATTAAGCGAGTCATTATGGAATAGAATGTACTGGAACTTAGAGAAGTAGTCAATCTCTGAGGAAGCACATGTCACCTTTGCCATGAAATCACAGGCAGGAATAAAAAGTGACTGAAACCTACAAAGTCATGCTGTCTTAATAGGCGATAGAAAGCGACAAACCTGATCCTAAACAGAAGAAGCTACAGAGCGATTTTGACATGAAAAAATCATGTAGGATCGACAATAAACTAGGTGGCACAGTCTCAAGCTAACCTCCTTCAAAGAACCTGCGCATATGGCTACAATTGTAGCTGATGAGTCGTCGAAGTTTTGTCAGAAATAACTTCATTAGTCGACACTCAGTAACGTCCAAAGGAAGCTACAGAACGATTTCGACATAGAGAAATACATCATGTGGCCGCCTCGGCATATCAACAACCGATAAAAATGTTGAGGAAGTGAAGAAAATTGTTATGGAGGATCGACGAACCACTATTAGGTAGTTGTTGAGATTTGTTATTGGCAAAGAACAACACCTTAATCATGCCTCGGCCATCGTATTCACCAGATTCGGCCCCCTGCGACCCATGAGAGGACGGCGCTCTGCGACGATTGAGGAGATGAAAACCGAATGGCGAGGTAGCTCGAGTATATACCAAAAAGTGCATATCAGAACTGTAGTATTTGCAGATTAATCGCAAAATATTTCTAGTTGATTCAGCAAGTTTTTTTCCTTAACCTGTCTTAGATTCTTTCCAAATATTTTCTCAATAGTTACACATTTCACCGGTACCGCTAAAAACTGAAGTTTTTAGACATTTCCCACACGTATGATGCACTCACACATGATTGAAATATAAACTAAAAAGTGGCACCTTGATAGCAAACGTTGCGGAAAGTTTTATCAAAAGTTTGACGTACATTTCGTAAAATTTAATTAAAACTTTGAACTTCTGACGGGCCGGTTACGTCAAACTTGCGAACATATTCACGTGAGGAGAAAATAGTTGGAGCTGCTTTATCAAACATTAAAATTATTAGCGGTGGTTATTTTTTTCAACGACAAAACACAAGTTCAAGCAAAACGTTCTCAAGAAGTTTATTCCATATAAACGCAGTTCTCCAGACGAAAGAGTTCTTGAACAGTGAAGTTCGAAGTGTACTGAGTTGAACCTCAAAACTATCAACGTTGCGATGTTCGTGCCTCTAATCAGGCGGATGGCTTTTTCCTGGATTGAATCCACCTTCAAGTATGCTTAGGGGCGAAGCTCCATACATGAGGAAAATACTCCAAAGAAGGTCTGATCTGTGCTTTATGAAACATCAAAAGTTGTTGAGATGTGATCTGGTTAGGAGACGTTTATCTTCTTGGAGAAAACCGATGCCTGGGTTTTTGTGGCATTGAATTGAACCTGGTTACTTTAACCCCAATTCGAAATTACTTCCAGATCCTCATTAAGATATGCAACCTCCTGCTGCCGGTGAAGATGTCATCCGCAGCCGATGTCCTGGAATCCAAATGGAATGACGAGAAAAGTATGCTGTCGTCAGCAAAGCAATACATTGAATTATTTTTTTCCAATTAGTAGTTGATATACAATGAAAAGAGTGTTGGAAAACACCAGCGTTTATGGCAAATTGTCCTTTTTGAAACATCTTTAACTGCATTCTTTATACTACGGGGTTTCGTGCTTACAACACATTCTCGAATAACTGCCTCTAAATGGTTTATATCTCGAAAAAGAATTACTGGTAAATAGAACATGTTTCTTTGTGAAAAATAGTACTTATCGGGGTAAACTGAAAAGTTTGTGGAAGGTGAAAAATACACAAAATAGGTCGATGAAAAAATATGAATGACCTTTTGAATACTTCAATAGAGTGCCCAACAACGTGGATCATTTTACGCCTGATGTTTACATTATGAACACCAGTCGTAAAATCATCATCATCATCATAAGCCTATCGTACATTTTCAGCCACCTGGCTTTTTGAGTGTACGAGAAATCGGTTTTCTTTTTGGATACCTTACGAAAATCTCAAACAAGAGTTTTGAACTCTTTGAATTCATTGTTGCTAATTTTTGTTCAGAAAATAATGATACACTACGTTGCAATGGTTGAAATTGTATAGTACCAACGAACTACAAATGAGTAATTTGGTCTTCAGGCTCAAGACATGCCTATGAGGGTTTACTTCTTTCATTTTCCCAAATGCTAATTGAATCAATGTTTCATCAATTTTCATGACCAGATCGCTGAATTTCGAACTTCTAACATTTCTTCCAAATACAATTTCAGAGCATTTGGAATTATTAACTTCTAGGACATGTTTCTTCGGCACATTAACAAATTGATCCTAATCCTCGACGCAGAAATTCGGGTTTTTGTGGTGGAACGGTTCCAAACACTGATCGTTTGTGTGCCTGCGCCGCATCCACTTTGAGCAGAGCTTTTACACTCTAATATTCATACTGGATAATATCTAACATAATCCTTTCATATTATTGAGCTTCAGCTATCTCGATCAACTTCATCTTGAGGTTAACCAAAATTATTTGGTGAGCTTTTTTTATGCGAATGAAAGAAATATCCACGGAGGCAAATGGTTGTCTTTGGCATAGAAACTATGGCAAAAATACAAAGTAAAATAAAAAGTTGAGAGATTCCAAGTCGCGTCAGTTCACGACTTGGTACCAGACTAACCCACAAAGTGTATCGAAAATCCACACACACAGATAGATACTTGCACGCACTATCGAACCACCATCCTAGCCAAAAGAGAGGAGTCATCTCCACTCTAACGGAACGGGTTCGGAGAATATGTGATCCAGAACATCTGGAGAGGGAACTGAAATACCTGGAAGTGACCTCCGAGACCAGAAGAGCCATGAGACCGAAGGGCACCACGGTTCAGAAAGCGAAAAAGGATCAGATGGTTGAACGAGCATATCTACCGTTTGTCCCTAGGGTCACGGATAGAATTGGAAAACTATTGGGCAAACACGACATCGAAATAGTCTTCAAACCCACGAGGAAGATACAACAAAGCCTCAGGTCAGCTAAAGACAAAAGAGGCCCATTATCAGCAGCAGGGGTCTATCGCATACCGTGTACTTGTGGAAAGGTACATATCGGAACCACCAAACGATCCATGGGAACAAGACTAAAAGAGCATAAAAGGAACTGCAGACTAGGCCAAACGGACAAGTCAGCTGTGATAGAACACGCACTTAGTGAAGGAGAACACAAAATTTTGTTTGAAAACACAGAACTAATTATCCTCAACCAGGGATACCATAGCCGACTGGTACGGGAGGCAATAGATAGACCCACGGAGACACACGGAGAATTTCAAC